TAAGATGTCGGGTAGCATGGGAAAGGGGTGGCAGAGTCGTACTAAAGGGACTTCGACGAAAGCGCAGATATCACAATAAAACGTAGATGCACCTGTCCTCTCTCTGCCTGAACCGGCAACTGTTGGCAAACACGCAGGTGCAGCCTCCTCGCCACCAAGTCTGTGGACACGCCCCTTCAAAACTGGCATTTGAACTGTATGACCATAAAGCATTTAGTCTCACTGCTGTCACAAAAAAATAACAAACCATTTAAACAGTTTAATTTCTAAGATGAACTCAAGTACTGTCCGCAGAAATAACTTAACACATCAACAATCAGTTGAACAAAAAAAACAGTTCACAGTTTACAAAGAAAATGAAAACTCTTTAACCTCCTAATACAATACCCCGTTGTGCCGGTAATAAATAAATAATAGTAATAGTTACAAACACGAATCTATATGAAATGCATTTCAGTACGTACTGAACAAATATCACGATATATGGATCATGTCTTTTTAACTATATTCGAGAACTATATGACGTCCATACAGCCAAATATAATGGACTAATCCCACAGATATGCATGCAAAAAACTGAGTAAAGTTACGAAGCAGTGCAAATCGATCAATAATTGATCGCTGTGAGCGAGCGCACGCACGCGTCTCTTGCCAGCCGATCCAAAAATCCGGCTCAGTGGTTTGGTACCACACAAGGAAAGGAGAAAACAAGAGGGAGAAAAATAAGCATCAAGGCTGGAAATCTAGCGCTATATGGGAGGAGAACTGAGAAAAATGATCACATTGGCAATACTCATGCATCATATGGAATTGAACTGATCAGGCAAGAATCTGCGATTAAGAAGCTATGCCACCAAAGCATGGCGTATTCCCAACTAATAACGCTCTGTTCGGCCTATTTTCTCGGAACATCGCGTCTGTGACTATCGAAGATTGAGCCACATCCATATTGCTGCGCCGCGCAGAACAAGCAGAGTATTCACTAGCTAGCTGCCTTAACACGCTACCGCACTACTATGGGCGCTATTCGGCTTGGAGGTGGCATTTTGCACTTTCGCTAGTTCCTCTTGTCAGTTCTTGTTGAATAAAAGTCTCACTTTGGTGAGGCCTGAAAACTTCTATGAAGCTGCGAAATGGCGAAATTGAACCACAATGGTCACAGAATTTTGCAACTCTTAGCAAGAGTGACTGTTACAAGCTTAGTTGGACGTCATTCGGTGCCCCACCAAGCCGAATTGCGCCAATGAAGTAGTGTCGTGAATCAGGGTTGATCTCCTCACGACGGTCACGAAGCAGTGGAGAGTATTCCTACATCGGCACCCTATAAAGGGCCGATTTTCGGGAACAAGTAGGCGGAACAATCTTTTTTTTTTCTCAAAACGCTTTCGAATGACAGGAAAATTAAATGGGAAGCGCCGCCTTCTGGATTCTAAGCTAAAGCATATTGAAAATTTGTGCGCATTATAGTACAATACAGTATTTTTTGGAAGTTTCCACCCTTCAGAATCGCAAGATCAAGCCTATCTCTCAAAATACAACAAGAACGGCATACTCTTCACTCAGCATCAACACCCCACCCAAATCCTCCTGGTCGCTCGTCTTCCGTCACCGGTTCAACTGTCCGCTCATCGAAGAGCCATTTCAGCCAGGCAGGTGTCACCAGCAAACGCATTCCATGTTGCTGATGAGGGAACACGTCTTCCAAGAAGAAGTAAAAGTGACCGCAAGCGATTCCTACAATGCAAAAACACTGAGGTCAGGCGCAACACGTGAAATGAAGCGGAACAGAATCATAACAAAGCCAACGCAACAGATAGCAAAAATAAGTAGACTACTGTGAAGCTCAAATCCATTCTGAACTCCTGTATCAACCCTTAACCAGATTATCCTCCCTAACTGGTAGAAGCACAGCATGGGAACAGCTGTACGTAAAACAAGACTTCCAAAAAACGCCCTAAGTAAATCCCTAATGCATGCAATTGATGAATAGCATTGGATGAGAATACCGAGCGTGAGGAGAAGAGACACCGTGCGCGTGGACGAGAGTCTAGACAATGAGGTCGAGAGAGGACACAGTCGCGCAAGCAGCATGGGCATAGGAATTACATGGTGCGGGTACTACTGAAACGCGATCAGATTCAAGTTGCAAGCCGCCTAGCACCTTCACTACACACTCACAAGAGGGTAACCATAAGCAGCACATTCAATGCGGCAGACCTGCTTATCGCCACCTATGCGTAATAAGTCATTAATATACGCTGGATGTCAAAAAGTCGAACAAATACTCCAAGATTTTCGGATTTTGCTGCACAGTATTGATGAAATCATCTCATTTGACTTACCCATGAAGTCTACAATGGCGTTATTTCCCAACAAGAGGGAGAATAGCAGCAAAACCCACGGCAAATACGGAGCAGTAAACGACAGAACTCCGAAAAAGTTCATCTGAAAGTTTATTGAACCTTAGCAATCTAGTGAAGCTGGAAGAAAAACCTCTAAATGGCAAAAAGCTTGCCTGAATATGTGGGTTGCGGCGACTCCATATGTACACTAGCATTATCGTGAACGCTTGACCAAGAAACACCATTTGCACGAAAATACCACAGATAACCTGCAATTTTCATAAAAGTGACTCCACTACATACTGTAGTGCCCCAGAGGCTTACTGCCCTATTCTCAGGGTAT